AAAAAAAAAAAAAAAAAAAAAAAAAAAAGTGAAAATAAAACCGAAAAAATAAAGTAAAATGAAGCTAAAGTAAGATAAAACAATACAAAATAAAATACAATCAAGTGAAGTAAGTTAAAGTACTGTTATTCAGATGACAGTTCCAGTCAAAATAAACATTTTTCAGGCGAACAATAACTGTGGCATTATTTCTGCCACTTGCAGAAATTGTTGGACGAGCACTTGGTTTTGCAATTCTATTTGTTTTTCCGCTGACGTGTGGCGGAATATATTTGTATTTTTTGATGCCAGAAACCAAGAACAAAAATTACAAGGAAGTAAGGAAACCATTTGTCTAATTGAAGTGGTACGAACAACTTTACTGTCAGCTGTGAATTAGTTCTTTTTTTAGGTAATTGAAGCTATGCACGATCTGCCATCGATATCAAATGTTGTCTGCTGTAGACAAAGAACTGGCACTGCGCAATTACAGCACATTAACACCGTTGGCTGATCTGTAAAATAAACGATAATCTTTGCTAGAAACTTTTCTTTGTCAGCTTTTCCATCAGCGTTTTTCTGAAACGCTCCACCCTTCTTTTTGTGAAACTTAGAAAATAGTAGGAAGTGAAAAAATTAGTTCATTAACAACAACAGTTCGTCTATCTCAAAACCTTAACTCTTTATCTACAATTGATGTCTGCAGTCTGATGACACAGAACGCATAAAGCTTTGTTTACAGTTTTACAAAGAACAATTAAGACAACCTGCAGAAAATTTTTCAGACTTTTCAAGCCCGTCAGCGATTGAAACACTAAGAATTTGAGGTAGTTTCTCGACCCCGCTGTCACTATAATCTTTTGAAAATCCTTAAAAAAATTCTTCTGGGTAGTCTAATTTCAACTGAACGGAACATGAGTAATATCCTTACTTCAGTGATTCAAAAACTAACGAAAGCGATTTCAGTAAGAATAAGTTTTTGTGAAAGTGAAGTAAAAATTGTGAACGAACGAACTGAAGTACAACATGAATCTACCAACTTTTGAACAACCATTTCGAGAAAGCTTCTAAAAGACCTAGGTAAGTCATAAAAATCAGCACTTCTTTAACTCGGGTAGTCATCTCAACAATATATTGCTTTTCAAATTTTTTCAATAATTCAATGGCCACCAACATGATATATTTCAGCCTTGTTTGAAGTGGTGTATTTGAGTAATAAACATTTAATTGTCATCAGGTTAGTAAATTGTTACAGACAATTATTAACAATGATAGGTACAATGAGATACTGACACATATGTAAGTTACAGATGAGCGTCAAACAATAATAAGATCTTCTTCTGGTGGAATACCATATTTCGATTTATTGTCATTAAAAAGTTTCCTCAGCGCTTTGATATATTCGGCATGTAACCGATCAATTTCTTCTACACTTGGATTCTCGTTCTTTTTAACTACTAATGGCGCTCCAACAACAACATCAATACGTTTCCTGAAAACCAGCTACAAATATCATTTCTTTATCTTGCAATTCACAGAGTAGCAACACAGTCAAAATAAACTAAAATTATAAATATTATTATGCATCATCCAATAGATCAATTTAGGCGACTTCTAAGAAAATTTTTGTAAAATTCCTTTTTACTATATCAAACTGAATACAGTGTTCATTTCAAAACTTCAACTGCAAAAAAACTCTCTGCACCCAATTTAAAAAGCCAAAAATAATTTCTCAAACTACTTCTTGACATTTTTGAGCAGACCAAATCTTTGTAGTAAATGCTTTAAAAGGAATAGCTGTCACAAAAAACGAACGCTTTAATTCCAGACTGGGGTAACAAAATACATCAATGTTGCAATATTTAATTTTCGAAAAATTATTCTAGTCTTTTATACTTATTCCTTAATCTGCATTTACTGGTCTACACGCTGCACGCTAATCCTTATTTTCAATTATCACAAAAATAAGAATAAAGAAAGAAAATATAACAAAAAAATAAAAAATGAACAAAAAGGAAAAATAGTGTGAAAAATCGAAAAAA